TCCTGCTGCCTCCTTCTGTGGGCTGCTACGAGGATGAGGGATGGTCCTTTGGAAAGGGCTGCTCTTCCCTGCTACCTGTGAAGTGGAGGCTCTTCATTCCCTGATCCTTCTACGACTCTGGAGAAGCAGCATGCTCTTCCCTGAGCTCGTCTGGCACAGGTCACATCCTGTCCTAGGACTCTATTAATATCCTTGTTTGTTTCCCCACCTAATGGTAATCTTGACCATGGGGACCAAGTCTGCCTGGCACAGAGGGGACGTCAGTGGATGAGTGATGGATGGAACTGGAGTGGTGAATTCAAATCCCCTGACCAGTCCCTGCCTCCAGGCCTCCCTGGCTCCCCTTCACGCATTCTGTCTGCACAGGGTTCCTGCACTCATCCCACGTCCACTGTTACTAGCCGAGAGTCTTTGCTTGGACGGAATCCCTACCTCAAATATCCTCCCTACTCCTCTTCACTTGTGTTAAACCACCTGGTTGTGTAGCCAAGATTAATCCCACTTCTTCCAAGGAGTCTGCCCTGCACACAACATCTGTAGCTTCCTGACCTCTTTTCTGCTCCTTAGAAGCCCTCTGGTACCATCCACAGAGACCCTGAATGAAGCTGAGCATCCTGGGAGTCTTGTCCGCCTCTCTCTGCCCTCTCTCTCCCTGCTGCAATCACAAGCATGAGGCCCCAACACACAATGCTCTAGGTGGGACCACACAGTAGGTATTCAGAAAGGACAGGTTCTACTGAATGTCATCTCTAAGTCTGTCCAGCTGCCTTCCTATCTATGTTCTCTCTCCTCCCTCAGACTGACCCAGGAGACACCTAGGATAGGGTCTGTCCCACCCCCATGAGACTAGGTACCCCTAGAGTGACAGCTGTCTGCAATTAGAATGAGATCCCCCTCAGGGTGGAATTCTGCAGCTCCCCATCAGAATGGAGGTTTCCTGAGAACAGTTTTCTGTTGTTTCCCTCTTCCCAGAACACCCACCACAGGCCCGACCACGCGCTGGTGGAGGACAGATACGGGACACCAAGGGCGGGGGAAGGGACCAGAAACCAACCTTAAACTCAGGCTCCTTGTGGGCAGGGCGCCTGAGCTCGCAGCTGAGCTGGAAGGCAGCCAGCATGGCATCCTCACTGGCCAGTGAGAGGTGGGCACAGCTGGCAATGCCACAACAGGTGTTGATGCGGGATAGGGAGAACTAGAGCAGATCACAGCAGCATGTGTTGCTGCACTCGAGGCAGGCACAGGAGACTGGGTGGGGCCGGGCGATGCTGTGGCCCTGGTCCATGAGCAGCTGGGCGATCTCATACAGGTCCTTCTGGCAGGCCAGGGTGAGGGAGGTGACACCAGGGGCAAAGCGGGGGCCATCGACTGTTGAGTCAAAGAAGGCCAGTGAGAAAGACCTGGTGTCCACCTTGCGGCCCTTCTCCCATTCCAGCCAGGCCAGCAGGCAATGCACCACTGCCGGCTGGTCTGTGTCCACAGCCACCAGCAGGGCCTCGTGGATCTGCCGGAAGTCGAACTTGACACTGGCCAACAGCACATCACTGATGGCCTTGTGGCCCAGGCGGATGGCCAGATTGAGGGCCTCCCTCCAGGAGTGGGCCTCAGCCTCCTCCACATTCTGCAGGGGCCCGCCTGGCCCGCCGTCTGTGGCCTCAACCCGCAACTCCAGCAGCTGCTACACCAGGTCCAATGGCATCCAGCAGTGGAGGTGGGAACTTAAGCTTTCTGTTCACGATCTCGGTCCACTTAGGCTGAGGCTGGATGAAGGAGTAGAGAGGGTGGGACCCTGAGTCTCCAACCTCCTTTGCTTTGGGGCCTCCCTCACCCTTCCACCTTCAAGCCCTTAACCCTCTGTACCCAGGCAACATTATAGTCTTCCTATCCCAAACACACAATAACACAAATTTCCATTTTTGTTTTAGGTAATAACACTTATGTAGTGCTTAAGTACAGGTAGTTTTCAAAACCCTTCATAAGTAAGTAACTCATTCAATTCTTAAATATCCCTGTAAGGTAAGAGCTATCATTCCCTCTTTAACAGGAGAAGCAGCTGACATACAGACATGCCAAACCACTTAACGAGGTGGGCAGCCAGGCAGTGGCTGAGGTGGTATTGCTAGTTACTTTTCCATGCTACTTCTCAACTCAGATAGAAATTATTACTAGTAGCTTTGGGATTTCTGGAATCTCTACTTCTTCAAAAGCCCCCAAATGTGTGACATGAGAATGTAGGTAAGTAAATACTTTCCCTCTTTTAAGGAAAATAACAATGCTACCACTTTTATCTGTTTTACTCTGAAATGAACTTCTACATTAGGGGCTTCCCTGGTGGCGCAGTGGTTGAGAGTCTGCCTGCCGACGCAGGGGACACGGGTTCGTGCCCCGGTCCGGGAAGATCCCATATGCCGCGGAGCAGCTGGGCCCGTGTGCCACAACTACTGAGCCTGCGCTCTAGAGCCCGCAAGCCACAACTACCAAGCCCATGTGCCACAATTACTGAAGCCCGCGCACCTAGAGCCCGTGCTCCGCAACAAGAGAAGCCACCGCAGTGAGAAGCCTGTGCACAGCAACAAAGAGTAGCCCCCGCTCGCTGCAACTAGAGAAAGCCCACGCAGCAACGAAGACCCAATGCAGCCAAAAATAAGTAAAATAAATTAAAAAAAAAAAGAAAGAAAAGAAAAAAGTAGTTTATTAAGTCAACATAGCTCTAATCAGAATTCCAGCAGAAGTTGCTGGCAATCACCACAAAGTCATCAACCAATAAAGGGCCACAAATTGCTAAGACAATTCTAAAAAGGTGGATCAAAGAGGTGGGGAACAACTCTGAAAAGAACTACAAAGTCACAGTATTTCAACATATGGTCTATAGAAACAAGCAAATAGATTCCAGAAACAGACTCATATAAATGGGAATTTACAACCTGTTAAGTTGATTGTAAGATAGAGCACGATTTTGCCAGAAAAAGATGAAGTAATAAATGGTGTTCAGAAAACTGGTTCACACCTAGAGGGATGGGATAGGGAGGGTGGGAGGGAGGCTGAAGAGGGAGGGGATATGGGGATATATGTATACATATAGCTGATTCACTTTGTTATACAACAGAAACTAATACAACATTGTAAAGCAATTATACACCAATAAAGATGTAAAAAAAAAAAAAAGAAAGAAAGAAAACCGGTTCACAATGTGAAGAAAAGTAAAAGCAGATCCTACCTCATAACATATTTTTAAAATTTTACTCAAATGGATCAAAGATGGAAATATGAAAAATAAGGTAACACAAGGTTAAAATACAAACGACTGACTGAAAGATATTTGTAACACATATAAACTTGGATAGTATGCAGAAGTACTTATATTTTATTTTATTTTTGTAAAGATGATTCGGGGACTTCCCTGGTGGCACAGTGGTTAAGAATCTGCCTTCCAATGCAGGGAACACGGGTTCCATCCCTGGTCAGGGAACTAGATCCCACACGCATGCTGCAACTAAGAGTTCGCATGCCACAACTAAGGAGCCTGTGAGCTGCAAACAAGGAGCCTGCCTGCTGCAACTAAGACCCAGAGCAACCTAAGAAAATAAAAAAAATTTTTAATTAAAAAAATTAAAATAAAGAGGATTCGATAAAATAATTTATGTAAATACAAAGGACAGTGCCTGACAGTAAGCTCTAATAAATATCTGTGACTAAACTTACCATATAGATAATATTATTAGGAATGCTTTGATAATATGGAATTAGCTGAGTTGAATTGGGGAAAGGAGTTGTGAGAATGTTCCCTGAAGCTCAAAAGTTGACAGTCCTGGTTAGGAGGCAGGGGGTTGGAAATGAGTTAGGAAGCTGTAAGTCGGGGTGCAGCATAGTGAATAAGGTGTACAGGACGAGGGTAAAGGTAGGAGCTGGGGACGCAGAGTGTGGACACAGGAAAGAGTACGGAGCTGTGTGAAGTGGATCCTGAGGCATGAGAGCCTAAGAAGCAGTTGGGGGCCGTGCAAGTCCCGCAAGGCTCTTCAGCTCTCAGCTTCGGGAGCCTAAGCCGCTACTTCCACGGCTCCTCGGAATGCGCTGTTCTGTCCACTTCCTTGATGGTCACCCTTCCTCCCTTTCGTCCATTCCCCTCCCCATTGACAGCCCCAACGACCCTCACCCGGGATAATGGGCCTCGAAGAGCCACCTCTGCCTCAGATCCTGGGCCACAAACCCATTCTCCTGCCAATTCTGCTCTCTGACCTCCGCCTTCTGACCCGAAGAGCCACTCTTCCGCCTCCCGAAGTCCGTGAATTCGTTCTGGGGCCTCAAGAAGCCGCTATTTCCGGAAAATGACTCCCACCGAGGTAAGAAGGCATGTGCTATTGCCAGGAAAATACATTCGGTGGTTTATGTATATTTCACTCTTTACAATTCTCCTCTAGAGAGAGCGGAATTTAGACTTCCGGGTCAGCTTCCATGCATTCTAGGAAATGTAGTCCTTAGTCTCCACGCTTCACTCTTGTTGCCCAGAGTGAGGGAGCGTCGCGAAAGTAGACGGTTTAGGGACCCTTCTCTTTGGCTCTCCAAAGGGGGAAATTGGTGAAATATTTGCACTGAAAATAATACAAGTCCTATTTCTCATTTTCCAAGAACTCTCCCCCGCGGAAGGTTAGAAGTGTACGGGATCCGTCCCTCCTTGACCTTTAAGTGGGTAGCAGGTAGATGGTCTCTTAGTTCGCCTCAGGTCTCCGCCTGTCTTGTTGTCCCGCCCCCTCTGCCGGAGCCCGCACCGCCGATTGGCTAGGAGCACTTGAGCGGCGGAAGCAGCTGGCTCGCGCGGGGCCTGCGGGGAGGGGGAGAGTTGTGAAGATGGCGGCGGTGGTGGAGGTGGAGGTTGGAGCAGGTGCTGCCGGGGAACGGGAGTTGGATGAGGTAAGAAGAGTTGAGAGTCGAGGAGAGGAGAGACCCAACCTGAAACTGAAGGGAGGGGAGGGGAGGTATCGGAAGTGGGGGTCCTAGGAGAGATGGAATCCTGAGAGGGAAGGAGCCAACGGGGGACGGGTACGGGGAGGGGGAAATCTGAGGTACCCTGGACTCCAGGACTCAGGGACTCGGAGGCGGTCGGGGGGCAGAAGGCTTGCAGTAACCTCAAGGGTGGAGATGGAGAACAGGAAGAGAAGCCAGAGGGGTTGGGGTGTTAAGATTTGGGATTATTAGGTGGGGGTCCTGGGAGGATTAGAGGGCCGCCAGGTAGCTTGAGTTGGAGGGACGTGGGCTCCTGCAAGGGAAAGCCGGGTTTTACTGAGGGAAGAGACTCTGTCTAGGTTTTCAGTGGGGCTGGGGACGCGGACCGCGGAAGAGTGCTTATCTACTAGTATTAGAGCTTCGGGTTATGCTTACGTAAGAGCTCTTTACATTCTAGAACTTTGTACATAATGTGGGCTCAGTAAAGTTTTGGTCATCGAATGATAGAACGAATGGATGAATGGACAACTGTATATCGGAATTCATTCATTCACTCACTTAACAAACATCAGGTATCCCCTTTGTGCCGAGTCCTGGGCTAAGTGCTAGGGACCTTCCCATTGAAGAGCCCACAGTATGGTGGTGGGAGACGCATAAGAAGACTAGTCATTGCATCGGAGGTATAATGGTGGCACTGAAAAGAGGGGACCAATTCAGTTTGGGCTAGGGAAGGCTTCCCAGAGGAGATGAGTCTTAACGGATAAGTGATTCTCCCTCTCTCTCTCTCTCTCTCTCTCTTTTTCTTTCTCTCTCTCTCCCTCTCCCCCCCTCCCCCTTCCCCCCGCAACCTCTCCCTCCCCTTCCCCTCTCCTCCCACCCGCCTCCCTTCTTCCCTCCTTCTAGACTTAGAAGTTCTTTGAGAGTGAGCTCTTGAGGGTATATGTCCCCTTTACCTACATAACAGGCATTTAACAACTGGTGTATTCAATTACCAGTGGTCCTTGAAGGAAATCACTAGGAGGAAGGAGACATTGAGTTTGAAGGAATGAAGGGACAGCGCTGAGAAGCAGAGAGAGAAGGTGAGAAAGGAAGGGGAAAAGATTCTGAGGTCAAAGGTACATTCATGGCTAGGGGTGCTTGTGGTTTTGCCCATGACAGCATATGGACAGCAGGGAGAAATAGGAGAAAGGGGATTGGTTGTTGAGGATGGAACCAGTGGGATCTCTGAGGGATCAGAATCTTAGAGGCCCTGGCTGTGCGTTGGGGGTGAGGATTGGGGATGAGGCCCAGAGAAAGGGAGTAGAAGTCGACTTGAGAAGCAGAGACTGTTGTTTGGTGGTGGGATGACTTGGAGGTTTTGGTTTACCTGTTTGGGAACATTAAGGTGGAGGGGAGGAGACTGAGAAACTGGCAGGTGGTCAGAGCAGGGAGAGATTTTTAAAGAAGCATTTTAGACCCATCTCTTTCAGTCACTAAAGACTGGGGATGTTTGGATACCACTCTGTTGGTGAGGTGTGGTAGTCGTGGAAATGACTTCCAAGACCCCTTTCAGCTTTAAGTTTCTGTGATTATGGTTGGTTGTAGTTCAGTGAGATATATTTGAAAGTGCCTTGAAAAAGTAAGTACTGTATTTAAGTTATTATACATGGTTTGTTAGTCATGGGCTCTCCTTTGGGGGGGCCAGATTTCAGTTACATATATCAGGGTTCATTGAGATAAAGAGCAAAAGTTTTGGCAAAGTAGAAAAGAACTTAAAGTTTCGATGTTAAACATTTTTGATTTTTGCTTCTTAGCTTTTCTTCCCTTATTGTTTTAAGAACTTAAGAGCTTCTAGTATCATAATTATACTTCCAGAGAGTCATGTCTAGAGGTCAACTTTATATGTAACCACTAGCATTTATCCCAGAAACTTATGTTCCTTGTTTCATTTACTGAGAAATAATATAATCTGTTGTCTGAAAATTCTGTGTGGATGGTTCTATCCTTTTGTGTGTTTAAAAAAGTAACTGTGAGAAGCAGGAACAGGCATCCCTTCAAGCTCTAAAAAAAGGAGGGGTGGGCAGGGGTATGGTCTGGCAGACCTTAGTTTGTGAGTTTCTTTCGATACTTCTATCTCCCCGGCTGTTTCTTAGTAGCCTTAACTAGTGAAAGAGAAGGTGAAATCCATCCTTTAATTTGTAATTATGAGGGTCTACTGTGTTTTATGCACTGGGAATCCAAAGATGAGTAAGACAGGATCTTTACCAATTTATAGTGTAGAGAAGAGACATGCAAATGGCCCACTCCAATACTAGATAATTCCTGTAATGGAAGTGTGTAACAGATTCAGTGGGGCACAAGAGACAAGCACTCAAGTCTGCTGGGGGATTCAATGAAATCTTTATGGTGGAGATGGGTTTGAGCTGAAAAATTAAAGGTTAGGTTTATAAAGAAGCATATGGCATCAGAGTTGCTCTCCTGTAGTACCTTCTGCTTGGTAGAGAGACGGTTGTGGAGCTCAGATTATAAAAGAGTAATGGATAGCCTAGCTAAGATGCAGTAGGTACTCCTTGCCACTTCTTTGGAAAGATTGCATGCTCTGATTTGTTCTTTAGGATATCGGGCCTGTGTTTTCCAATATCAGATGCCGTTAGCATGATAAGTAGTCTGGAATAGCAGCCATCAGTTTATTCATGTTCCTTTTGTCCGTTTCATTATTACTTTCTATGGTATTTAGTTAAGGTAATTAAGGCTTTGCTCACTGCTTCTCCTGTTTTTGAGAGGTGAGTAGAAAAGAGGGCTTAGGAAAAGAGCTACCAATAGAAAAGCCTGCTGTTTATTGAGCCCTTAACATAAACCAGCCCCTGTTTAAAGCCTACATTATCTCATTACTAACAGCAGCCCTGTGAATTAGTTGGTGTTTACCGCATTTTATAAATGACACTGAGGCAAGAGAGGTTAAGTAGCATTCCTAGGATTCCACAGTTTGTGAGGGGAAGTGCAGATTCCATCCCAGGTCTGCCTGTGCTATACTGAACTAAGTTTTACACCGCCATGCTATACTGAACGCCTCGGTTCCATTTCTCACGCCAGACTCATCTTACCAAAGTAAACTACCTTTTTCTTAATATACAGAAGTCCCATCTCCGGGCTTCCCTGATGGCGCAGTGGTTGAGAGTCCGCCTGCCGACGCAGGGGACAGGGGTTCGTGCCCTGTGTGGGAGGATCCCACATGCCGCGGAGCGGCTGGGCCCGTGAGCCGTGGCCGCTGAGCCTGCGCGTCCGGAGCCTGTGCTCCGCAGCGGGACAGGCCACAACAGTGAGAGGCCTGTGTACCGCAAAAAAAAAAAAAGTCCCATCTCCAAAATGTGAAGCAGCATTTCATTCCTGAGAGATTCAAAGTGGGGGTTAACTAAAGGAATATTGGTTTTTCTATACAGGTCCTTTAATTTACCTATAATTTGATTCTGCTGAAC